TTACTTTTATTATTCTTATTACCTTTATTACCCTTATTATTCTTATTACCTTTATTACTTTTATTACTTTTATTACTCTTATTATCCTTATTATTAAGGAATAGGCTTATTAAGACTAATAGGGTATATATAGGTAAGAGGTAAAGTTATTAAGACTAATAGGGCATATATAGGGTAAGAGGTGAAGTTGTTGTATTGTGTATCTTCTATATCTTCTATCTGGTTGTATGGTACGGATAAGTGCCAGATATACTGGGTGACAGGAGATCGTTCTTCCGGCTTCCGAGCCGCCTGTCATCAGGGCTGAGAGTAGCCGGCGCGGAGCCCCTGAAGGGGTGCCCTTATATATAGGTGCAACTAGACAACAACCTGTCAGTATTGTTGTTACGAATCCTTTTGCCTTCCAGGGCTTGCGCCCCTGATGGCAGTAGTGCTGGTTGCTACTGGAGCCCTCCGGGCCAGTTGGACTTATTTATTTATTAATATACGCTAATTAGACTCTATAGTCCTTCTAGTACCTTAATAAATTTGTAAGGGCTAGAAAAACTATAGTAAGGTAGTTAACTTAGCTAACCCCTAGCCCTAGCCCTACCTATCTAGATAAAAACCATTCCTTCTATACGTATTATAATTCCTATATTTAAAGCAATTCCTAGTCCCTTCTATCTTAAAGAAGCTAATAAGAACACTACTATAGGTAGAAGCTATCTTATTAATTAAACGCTGCTATATATAGTGGATAATATAACCTATTATCTCTTAGTGTTAATCTCCGTTGCTGTTACGGGCTGGGCTCTGGCCCAGCGCCTTCCACAGTGGCTGGCGCGGAAGAGAACCCTTATAGGTGCAACCAGACAACAATCGTGCCAGTATTGTTGTTACGAATCCTTTTGCCTAGTCGAGTGGTAAGAGGGTTGTGCGCCGTAAGGCCACTGACGGCTGCGGGGCTGGTTGCCCCCGAAGCCCCTCTGGGGCCAGTCCGTCACAGTTGCTATTAACATAGTAGATCACACCCCTACTAACGTAAGGTGGAATACGCTACTATATTATAGTAGAAATAGAAGGTGAACTCTCTAAATCCCTTTAAGAATAGAAGTATCCTATAGCCTATTACTATTATTAGTAGCTTCTATGCCTACATCCTAACTTTCTAAAAAGTTGGTGTTAATATAGGAAGAGAGTTATAGTTAGACTTATTAAATAGCGCTATTATATACTAAATAATAAGTACTATACTAAATTCAATAATTATCTATAGAGGTTCGGCAAATATCTTAGGCTAGTTTGTTCGAGATGTTCACGATTGCGTCATTATAAACCCCGCACGTGACTACGTGCGAGTAACGCGTTGCAAGACTAGTATAGCCTCACATCTACATCAACAAATCCGTCAACCCGCCCTACGGCGAGCCGTGTACGCGTCGGACAGCGCATGCCCACCAGCCTGAGTCTCACAATGGCGCGTCAAAACACATTCACCATTATCCCGCAGGGCCCGCGCTTCGACGCCACCACGACGCCCATGGTGCCGATGACGTCGAAACAGGCCCGACAGGCCTACAAGGCCGCCAGCAAGACGCCGTCCATGACGCGCGCGGAGCGCCACAGGTGGGAGCGCGAGGAGCAGGAGCGCATCCGAAAAGAGTTTGAAAAGGACAAGGCGGCGGCCAAGGCGCGCCTGGCGCGGGACAAGAAGAAGGACAAGGAGGCGCGGCAGCGCGAGGAGAAGCGCCGGAACGGGCTGCCGCTGGTCAGCGTGCGCCCGAGCCAGGGCACGATTGCGGGGTTTGTCAGGGGCAACGGCAGGAAGAAGAGGGATGCGGAGGGTGCGCTGGTGATGGCGGCGCAGCAGGTCCCGCTGGAGGAACGGGTCGAGGCGGACGAGGCGCCAAAGCCGGAGCCGGATACGACGGTTTTGGGCTCATTACTGGAGGTGATAGAAAATGGAGAGGAGATTGACGCAATGGACGTGACGAGGGACGAATTACCTCTACTGAATATAAACTACGAAAACCCACCCGAACACAATACAGACGCTGAGGACCCGGCGATACAAAATAAGACGGGCGGCAAGCAAGCAGAGGAAGCCATCAGAACACTTACACAGAGTTGTGATGTCGAGCTCAGCTTCAAGGAACCTATAGACGACAATCCCTGCGAACACAAGACAGACGCCGATGACGGCCAGACGACGATACATGATAAGACGGACGACAATAAGACAGAAGAAGCCATCGGAACACTGATACAAGATTACGATGTTGACCTCAGCTTTGAGGAATCTATAGACGGCAATCCATGCGAACACAAGACAGACGCCAATAACGGCCAGACGATACAGGATGAGGCGGACGATAAGAAGACAGAAAAGGCCATTGGTGTGCTTTCACAGGACTATGATGTCGACCTCAGCTTCGAGGAACCTATCGACGAGGCCGCGTTCAATGCAACGTTGGATATGATTCCTGTGGATAAGACCGAAAAGCTCCCTGACGCAAGACCGCTTGACGATCAGACAAAACGAGGGCCCAAAGCGACCACCGAGGATGCTGTCGATTTTCTGCCGTCCCAGGACCTCCTTGACGAAGAGATCAACACAGACATGATGGAAGAACTGGAAGAGCTTATGAGCGGGGGTAAGACATCCGCCAAGCCACAAGCAGTGAAGACGTCGCCGTCGCCCCGGCAAAGACCACAACATAAACCACCGACTCCCGGACCATGTCAAAGGGAGTCGCCGTTGCGGCACCGGATCCGGAGCCTGACATCCCCGGAGCGGCCACGACAGCCGCCCCCCATGGGCACGCAGGCCATCCTGGTCAACCCGGCTGACTTTTTCCCCTCCTCCTCGCAGCAGCTCCGCGAGCTGGACGAAGAGCAAGAGGCCGAGCAGGAAGTCACCCCAACGCCGGCGGCCCATGACACTCACCATACGACACCTAACGCACACATACCCCCGCAGAGTGCAACGCCCCCAGAAGGCGCGAAACTAGCCCTGGATACAGGAGATTTGGAGTCCGAGTTTGGCTCATTTCCTTGCACCGCACACTTTTCGCTTTTGGAGCCCTCCGCGGCGCCACATCCACCGCGGCCCACGCCACGAATACGTCGGCCATCAGCCAGTCCACCGCGCCCACACCCCGTCTCCGAGCCAGAGCCCGCGGCCCCGCCTCCTGCTCCTCCGCCGCCGCGCTTCTTTACGTCCTCGGGCTCTCGGGTGCAGCTCTCGCTGGCGATACAGAGCAGCCGCCGGTCGGCCGCCAAGGAGCAACGGCAGGAAATGGCGCGCCAGCGGCAGGAAGCTAGCCTCGTGCTGCAGCTGCAGCAGCAGGACGAGGCGCGGCGGCGACGTTCCTCGCCGGTCCTCCGACCGGGCGATCCAGACGCCTCCGCGGGTGGCGGTGGCAAGGTGGCCGCCGCGGCCCAGCAGGCGGACAAGGAGAATGTGCTGCCAGAGATAAGAGGCTCACAGGAGACGGAGTATGGCGGAGACTGGGTCGAGGACGAGGCGTGGGATCTGGCACTGTGCTGAGAAGAAGAGTGAAGAATAGAGATGGATACATACCCCCATAACGAGTCACGAACCAATATTCTGTCACTTTTTTCGTCTCTCGTTGCGTCTATAGTCGCGAAGTGCTTGGTATTACAATATGACCCTAAGCAGTAAATATTTTTTTGCAGTTCTTATCTCCAAAATCGTCGTGGACATTTCTAGCAGTCCATTTTAGCAGATATGGGTTTAGCCGCGCGACTGGAAGCCGCCTCGGAATTTTCACTTTCGACCGCGCCAATTTTTCATCAGGCCACGAGGTCAACAAATTCAAAACGTCATCCCTTTTTTTGTGAGTCATGTTTTGCACGCTGGGACTAGGCTACAAACGCAACCAAAGTGAGGCTTCAAATTGGGCTTGGTCGCCGTCGCTGTCGTGGCATGCAAAAATAATCCTGAATAGGGGAAAGGCAAATACAAAAAAGAAAAAGAAAAAGAAAAAGAAGATCGCAAGCATTCTCCATATGATCGAATATTTATTTTTCTTCGTTATTTTTCTTTAAATCCGTTCCATTTGCGCTTGTCCGTCCACTCATCACTTGCTGCCTGTTTTGCATCATTCTAAGCGCCTCAAGCGGCCCACAATCAAACTCGCCCCCACCGCCCAGACTCGACGACAATCACCACCTCAGTTATCGCCACGCACCCGGAAGCGACCTCGTCAAGTCCCTCAGCAGCGCAGGGCCAGCCTCTTCGAACCCTCCAAATACAAGAAACCCGCCTCCTCTACGTAGCAAGAATACCCGCCTCAGCGCCGTCTTCCTCCCTCACCCCTCCAGAGCATGCACCATCCGGGCACATAACAAGTTTCAACGCCGACGCCTCTTATCCACGCCTCTCGTGGCCCCTCGCGAAAGCGACAAAAAAAACCTCGCAGCCGCAGCCGATGCCTGGCAGAGGCTTCCCGCTGGACTCGGTCGCGTCCGAACATTACTACGCTCCCTACCACCACGCCGCCGCCCTCGGGCACGAGCCGCCACGCCCGCAGCCCCTCGCCAGGCCGCCGCCCACGCCCGCCCGCCGCCGCCCGCGTGACCCCCGCGAACAACTCCTCGGCCTGCTCCTGCTCGACATCATGACGACGCCCGAGCACAGCGGCTTCGAGGCCCTCGGCGACGACGACGACGACGACCTCGTCGAGATTGTCTCGGCGCGGCCCAGCCGACCCGCCAGTGTCCAGCCGCGGCCGCCCTTGTCGTCGTCGACCGGCGGCGGTGCCGCACGCAGCAGCAGGCGGCCGCCGCCGCCGCCATCACAAGACGACGTGATTGACCTCACGGTGGAGCTCGACTCCCCTCTCGAGGTCCGCGCGCCGCAGCCGCCCCCGCGGCTGCCACCGATGCGGACGCACCGCCATCCCCGCCGCACCACCTCGCAACGACTCACGCCGCCGCGGCTGTCCCGCAGCGAGAGCATCATGCTCGCCTCCGAGACCAGCTTCATCGACCTCACCGGCGACGACGACATCACCAGCGGCAGCAGCAGCACCGCCCGCTTCGCCAGCCGCACCACTACCACCACCACAACCAACGAGCCGCCCCGTCGCAGCAACCGCAATCACCAGCACCCCATCATCCTCCCCCACCCTGACAGCAGCAGAAGCAACGGTGCAGCCGCCGACCACCTCGTCGACCTCGAGTTCCTCAACCCCCGACATGCCATCCAGTACGGCTTCGCCTCGTCGTTTGCCCGCGGCTTCGGCCGCACCCTCGCCGACATTCTCAGTGCCGACTTCCTCACCGGCCAGGCCCCCGCGTCGTCGTCGTCGTCGGGGCTCCCCGGGCGGTTGTACACCCAGCGACAACCACCGCCTGGGCCCGCGCAGCGCCAGCCCAGTCCCCCCCCGCGGGAGATGCCCCCCCTGCCGCCGACCAGGTCCGGCTTCACGCGTGATACCGTCGTCGAACCCGACGCCGGCGCCGAGGAGCGCGTCGTCGTGTGTCCCGCGTGCGAGGAGGAACTCGCCTACGACCCGGCCGCTGGTGGTGCCGCCGTGCAGACCACCGCCACCACGGGCACCAAGAAGCGCAAACGGGCTGCTGGTCATCACCACTTTTGGGCGGTCAAGAAGTGCGGCCATGTGAGTGCCCCCCCTCCCCTTCGTCAACCCCCCAACATTGCTAACTTGTAGCTGTTCAGGTCTACTGCGCCGACTGCTTTGAGAATCGCCGCCCAACCAAAGCAAACCCCGACGGCGTGGGCTTCGTCGGCCCGCCAGGCAAGCTGCCCCATCACGCACCGCACGACTTGCGCTGCGCCGTCGAGGGCTGCGACGCCAAGGTCGCCAACAAGACGGAGTGGGTGGGCATCTTCTTGTAGCCTGGCCCGGGGGGGGGGGGGGGGGGCCGTGCCAGGCCTACTTTCTTTTTACGATGCTCATGACCATGGTTTTAATGTATTCTTTTCATTTTTGGTTGCGGGCGTGTGTGGCTTTTTTCCCTTTTCACTGCTTTAAGGATAGATAGATTACAAGCATGATAATATGCGGACATGATGAATGGGCGTTTCGGGAGGCTCTTTGAAAGACAGTGGTAAGTCCAAGCGTTTCTACTTGGCAGCATTAAAGGACCGCAGCAAATACACAAAGTGTTCCTGTCAATACACCGGAAATCGTGACTCGTTCATGGGGGGGCTCATCCATTTATGTTCCTCAGTTCTCTACCAAACACAAAGTGCTTCTGTTAACAACCGGGCTATGCAAGCAAAAGTCGTCTTACCTGCTCTTGGACTTGATGCTCGACGCAGCGTTGCAACCTGAAAGTAAGGAATACCATCACCCATCAACCTCATCAAGGCATTCACACCAGAGCAGCTGCATCCTCGTAGCAATCCGTCTGCACCATCCAAGCTCTAGGGTAGCAGCCTGGGTGCGAGGACTGGATTTCGAAATACGGCGCCTGCAGTCAAGTTGAGACTTTTTCAGCGGGAATGGTCTGCAAGTTTAAATCTTACAAAGGAATCATGTTGCAGTCTATAACGAATCAATTTTTGAGTTGCCATTCTCTGGGGCTTGTTGACGAGGGTGATGTGGTTGGGTCCGATGCAACAAGGCGCATTGTTGTTCAGTGAAGAGCAGTCATGCAAGTGGAATAGTTCTTTGTTACAAAAAGGTCGTTGGACGTCCAGCTCGTGCTTGATAGTATCTAGTGGGATAGAGTGATAAATGGGTTGAGAGACTGAGCAAGTCTGACCAATAGAACAATCAATCCTGGTCGATTCTACCCTTCGTCCATGGCCAATATATCCTCTCATGACGAATCGAGCCAGATCTACGACCACTGCTGCCTTCCTTGTTTCATGGAACTTTGTTTGAACTTTGGATTGGTCTTGCAGGATGTTAAAATAGGTGATAGTGCGGTCCTTTTCTCAGTTTATCCCTAGGTAGATGTCAGCATGTTCCAAAGTGCTTGAGCAGCAGCGCACAGTACAACCCGAATCTCGCAACACGCGGTCTTTATTAATGACGCTTTAAAACTGTGGATCTCTTCAAAGAGGCATTTGAACGATTGGTTCATGTCATTAGAGCTCGCTTCTCGTCTGCGGATTCTTCGGCCGTGTTCTCTTCTGACACCGTGATGACCAAGCGGCTCCTCCACGAGGCCGTCGTAGTTGCGCAATCCTTCACGCGGCACAGACGGCACTATCGAATCATTAGGTTTGCTGCTGGAGCAGTCATCCCACCACAACATTGCCCCCGCCCTTTAGTGTTGCTGGCTGATGAAGCGCCGTTTTCGAGCCTCGCCCAATCCCGCAGCGAGGACAGACAATGGATCGCCCACCTGCAAGTTGCAGCAAACACGGCAGCGTGGACCGTCGCCCGTTCATGCATGGACGGTGACGTGCGGCGGGAACATGGGGCAAGTTCCTGTACGACAGCGAGAGAAGAGACCCGGCACGGAAATAACCCGACGCACGGCACGGGGGGGACGACGACACGAGAGGGGAGGGATGTTCATCTTGACAGGCAGCCTCCCACCCCGCCGCCCCCCCCGGCACAAGCCTCACAGAAAAGTCTTGTGTACTTGGGCGGCCGTCGCGGATACTACTTTGCATCACCCGACATTGATTTTTTTTTTTGGCATCCGATGGAGTCTTTTTCTGCCGCACACACAACCATTGAAGTCAATGTGGATGGCGACGACCACATGATGCGCATCTGTAGAAAAGGGCGCCCGTCACATCAAGATGTACAGATGTACATCGTGTGGCAAAAACTAACTATATTGGTCCGGTCTCCACCGTCCCCGTGCTGCAGATGTATAATATTAGAGACGAAGAAAGTGTGTGTGTGTGTGTGCGGACAGACATGACATTGGTCCTAGTCGACGTAGCATCGCCAGAAATGTCAACGGGTAGGAGGCCAGCATGCATGACAATCCCACGCCGAACAAGTGGGGGTTTTTCCCCGGCGCCGATGGGGGAGAGAAAAGAAGGTTGGCGATGTGACGCTGGGGGGGCAGAGAGAAAAAGAGGGTGGGCGAGTTATAGTTATGTGCTCTGGCCGTGCTTTCGTTCCCGGCTCTGCCGCTGCACATGATTGACGGGAGGACCCGAGCAGGAAAAGAAAAAGAGCCAAGAGATTGTGGTTGTTGTGGTTGTTGCGGTTGTTGTTGACCTCGAGTCAAGGACCGGTTTACTTTGCATATCTCTAGGTTGGATTGGATAGACAGAAAATACATGTGATGGGAATTGTAGTTAGCTAGTTATCGTGTTCCACGGAAATCGACAAACGTACAACGATAAGGTAGCAAGTACATCGGTACACCCTCGATCCCCCCTCGCCACTTCCAGAGCAACCGGCGCCGTTGGCCGTTGATCCAATCAGAGTGCCCAAACGACATATTGGTGTGTGTGTGTGGTGTGGCTGATGGCGCCCAACAAACAGGAAAATCATTGAATCCTCCTCCAAGGAAGTCGACCGAAAGATGGAATTGTATGCAGCGGTAAAAAAGTATAGGGGCTCTTGCTTTGGTACAATTTTTTTTTTTTTTTTGCTTTGTGGCGGGACTTTTTTCCGTCGTCGAATGAGTCGACGTAGGGCGCGCGCGCCACCAGTCTGAGACACCAACCACAACACCTTTTTTGCCGGAGACTTTTTTTGTTGCTGGCGAACAATGGCGCATGGTGTGGCCGCACAGTACGGAGTAATGCGGCTACTGATAGACTCCCCGTTTTAAGGAATCATGTTTCGGACCGGAAACAAACGATAACGACGACACAACACACAAGAAAGATCGCCAAGGTCGACATTGGTCGTGTTTGCGTTGCTCAACGCGGTGAAGCTTGACACCAGACAACCTTGAGCTCAAACGAGGTTAGCGAGACTACTAAAAGAACCACAACGACAAACGTCTTTCTCGTCCTGCGACAACATTGATAGATAGCAGCTGGGATGGCTCCTGTTTCTATTTACGGCTTCAGCCGGCGGCTCCTTTAGGCAAGCATCGGCCGTGTCTTGCGTCTTGACAAGAAACTGTTCGCTCCATCCGCTGCAGGGGTAGAACGTCCCATGGCCCATGCTGATTGATGATTCAGCTTTTTGGTTGTGAGGCGCGACGCTAACAGGCCAGAGTCCGGAGTACATGATGGTACAAACAACGCCAAAGTCATGGTGGCGCAACGCCATGGCCGGTGATTCTCAACTTGTACGGATAAAATTGAGCTAAATCATGTCTTGATTGGCAACAAGGGGAGAGTCGCCTCTTGCTCAATCCCATCGCTTCCCTGGTCTGGTACCTTGCATGCCGAGATAACCAAAGGGCTCCTCAATGACGAGCAAGTGAAAAGGCCTCTGTGTTCTGTCAAGGCATCCACAGATGCATCTTGAAACGCTCTCTTGGTCCCAAGTAAACAGCACATGTGCATGGTCTCCAGTCTCCTTTGCTCAATCCTTCAGTGCCTCTGGCTTGCTTGCCGCAACGAGTTTCCATGCGCAGGATTCGCAGTCTTCGAGGACGCACCTTCGCCTCGCTTACGGCTTCGCCACGGAGACTGCCACGACATGCCGCATCACCAGGAAGCGCATCGCATGCATGCATTTCTGTCACAGAGTTCTTGGCCTACACTCTTCAACATCTGATGCAGAAATTGCCCCCCTCCCCCCCCCCCGGCCAGGCATTGCCACATGCCGAAAGTCGTCATAAAAAAATGTGACGCATCATATGCAGGCTATGCATCCTTCCCGCACCACCCACCCCGGCCCGTTGCGAGGCTGCCCACAATACTGGTACATACAGACCTCGCTTGCCGGAGGAGTGATGCAACCCCCCTGGCCACTTCGATTTGGAGCTTAGGGCGCGCCGGCTGTCGTCAAATTTGCTGGAGAACAGAACAGGGTCATCATGCTTCTCCGAAGAGAGACGAAACATCAAGTTATCATCCCGAGTAACGAGTCGTTGAGACGCAGCCATAGACGTGCTCCGAATCTATAACCAGCAGAGTCTGAGAACATGGCAAGGCTCAGTCAAGCAGCCCATCATCTGTCAGAAACTGGTTTCCACGGCTAATTGCATCTCAGCTCGAGGTCAGATCGGCATTTCTCCTCGGCGTCATGCGCAAAAGCCCTCACAACTGAAGCTACAAAGCGCCTTGGCATGCACGTCGGACATGCTACGCGTACGCATTCGTATTGTTACCAGTCGCCAACTCCCGGACCCCGAGAGAGTAGTAGCCGTACAAGTGAATAGTTGAACAACCGGAGGAGGGAGCTAGTTAGGGCGCGGGCCGTTTCATGTGGGCGAGATGAACCCATCATGAGGGGCATGGCTGGGGTCGATAACTCGACAAGTGCGCAGCCTTGTGCCCACTGCGTGGCGATACGTTGAAAAGCTCAGACGCTGATCTGGACCAACATGTACCCTCCCGCTTGTAAGCGAGGCTTTCCCTGCATAGTATTACCCGTGGCTGTTGGGCTGGGGTGCCTTGTTTCCCTTTTGAGACGACTGGACTTTACCTGATGCGCGAAATGCATGCAGAGGCTCAGGCTCAAACCCAAGGCCATGACTGCGGCTGTCGCCCGGTGACTAGCTACCGATAGCGAAAATGTATCAAGCAATCCTCAACATGCTGCAGGTTTAATGAAGAACATGCAAGGGATAGAGACACGAAAAAGGTGCATCCGATGCAAGTCATTCACCCTCCAGGATCGTGTGCAGCAAGGGTCGACAGTAGAATGTTCGTGGCTTCAGGGTGACAACACCACTGGCTCCAGCTCGCCCATGACGAGGATAGCAATACCCAGCTTGCAGACTTGCTGTAGACTGTCGAGCGTGGCGCCCAATACTCGAAAACCCTCGTCATAACTAGTTAGTTGCAGATGCGCCATGTTTTTACTGGTAACCCTTCGCCTGTTGTCAGGTTCTGACAGGTCACGTTTGGATGGCCGCATTTTTGATATGTGATTTTTGGGACCAGAGTAAGCTGTAATAAATGAAATGAAATTACCAGAGCTTCAAGTTTGCGCACCGTCCCGCGCCGACATGTGAATAATTTGTCGCTGCACAAAGAGGAACTCGTCTCTAGTTAGTTACTTCGTACGACTTGGATCTGTGGCCACCGAGAGGCGGAACAAAGAGCGGCTTTTACTCGGCATCGTGATAGAGACGGTGGGGATGAGGCCACAAACCTCACCAACCAGTTACACGATGCGGTGTATTGTTATTGACAGCACCCACAGCTGCCGTGTTGTCACAGCTGGGGAACGCTGGGGTTCGGCGGCGCTCTTTCGCCAGTGGTCCGTCATGGTTGTGCAGCGTGGTATTTTGAGCCACACCCGGGGCACTGAGGGGAGGAGGCTTGGGGAACAGGGACCTGCGTGCCCCCACGTATTAGTTACCTGTATTAATTAATATCAGTAGTTAGCTAGCTCGGAGGATGGGTGCCAAGGTGCATCGGGCCCCCTTGCACTCATCAGTCTGTAGTTATTAACTAGCTCAGGACATTTCGGCGAAAGCTAGGCCCACGATAGCGGCAATGAGCACAGGCCAATTTGCTAGTTAGCCTTCCAGTGTCAGTTCGAGCGAGTTTGTGGCCAAGATGCATGGCAGCAAGAACGCATAGTGTCTAGGGCTTGGGAATGTACGGCGACGTCAGAGGCAGATTGTGCATAGCTGAGCTACGCTGCAGCACCTGCATGGTGCGTCGAAGCTCACTTGTCATTTCTTGTATGAAAGGACTCGATGAAAAGGATCTCTCTATTCCACCAGACCTGGAAAGCGGCGGAAACGTTGCGTCTGCAAAGTAAGCTAGGGCAATAGCATCGGCGCCCAACGTGGTCTTTTGTTGCTAAGCAGATGGGCGGTGACCCAATAGTTAGCGCGAGGGTACGTGGACGACATGAATTCGGGTGTGCTCGACTTTTTGCCTCTTCTCACTGGTTCGGGGACCCTAAATCTCACGATGCCGATTCTGGAGGGCGGGACTGGCCGGGCATGTGCGGAACCAGCCTCGTTCTGGCCTGTCCCCCCGCCGGTCCGAGTGCGCCAATGCATGCCAGCCGGAGAAGGGCCCAACTAGAGCTGGGCTGCGGGCACCAAAAGCGCAAGAAAAGACTAGTTATTAGTTACGAGCCAACGAGATCGGACGCAGGACGTGTGCATTTGCATATGGCGGGAGGATACAGTTTTGTTAGTTGTGAACTCATTAGCCTGAATAAGTGCTGCCGTCGTCCGCCTGGTGCCAAGGATTTGGCGAGTCGAAAGAAATGGGAAACATAGATTGTCTTGGATAGAGAAACCTTTCTTCTTCCCGCATGCTCTTTGGGGCGAGATAGGATATCGGCTTTTGGGCTTGAAACTTGAGAGGTGTCTTGAATGGTGGTGTCTCAGCCGGCCTCTGGTAGGAATTCGGTGTTGCGCACTACCCCAATGGTGTAATAACTAATTGCTGCCATAAAAAGGCGGGGAGGCGTTTGACGTCTTTCTTTGGCTCGAAAGTCGAGGCAAAGGTTTGACAAAGAATAAGTCGGGCTATTCAGGTAGGGTCCTTTTTGTTGGGCGCCAACAGGTCCCTGGCTGCAGGTTGCAGGCGGCTTGACGGTGGGCGAACGGCGCTATTGCCGAGGGATGTCTGTCGCCTGTAAGTGGGCACTGGGCAGCATGGCAGAGGATCGATGGAGATGGTTGAAACGTGCAACGGGTTGCTGATTGCATGTACTTGGTGCAAGCATCGTGTTGCTGTTTGGCGGGGGCTGGCTGCAAGTACGCGTCCCAGCTGACGGATCCGAGGTCAACGGTTGAGGCAAACGTTTAGCTGGAATGAATGGAAGTGGCGTCATGATTATCTCCATACATATCTAGATGGCAAAGTTTGGAGATGGCTTCGACCAGAGCCAAAGGAGGAAACGATATGGCGATGGTTGTGGAGGTGGAGGGAAGGGGAAGCGCGCCGCATTTGGTGTAGGGAGGCGGTACTTGGATACGCTGGGTAATTTGCAGTAGTGGCAAGTACCTACCTATCTAACGGCACATCGGGCAAGCGTTATCAGTACATGACAACCACTCATTGTGCGTGGATAATAATGAGTACCCAAGCAACAGGGACTTGCCGTCGTGCACTGCCAAGGGTAGGCGCACGGGCTCTCGCCGGCTTGCTGCAGGCAGGGTTGGTGCAGGCGACCAGGGTTGAACCACGATAAGGCCCAGCGCTTCCTGGTCCCACTTCCAAGGCCTAAAAACCCAAAGACACAGGCGCATTCCCTGTAAGAATCGCAGAGTCGCAGTGTTGCAGTGGTGTCACAGGCCCCGCCAACGACCCACAGCGATACCACTCCGTGGGGATCCATTGGTGGCGCAAACAGGCAGCTGTGAGTGGCTACTTCTTGGTGGCTGTCGGACCCTGTTAGGTACTGACCATGGGCCAGTGGCAAGTAGCGAACTGCTACTTCGTAGTCAATACAGTGGTACGGAGTACTTGAACAAGGCAGTGATGGGCAACCGGCTTGGCGTTCAGCCCACTGTTACCAGCGACAAGGTAGCTTTCGCGAGCGGGAGAAAACAAAAGAGGCGTCGTCTGGTACGAAAGAGTGACGAGATGGCACAGTGTGGCGCGACACCTGGTGGGCCGGATGGCACTGTGCAAAGCGGCACTCTGTGGTCAGTTGTTTGTGTGCTTCTTATCAGTGATAGTTAGCCACACTGTCTCGCACTGTAGAACTCAACATATTGCCTCTCGCCACAGCACCGCCGCCACCGCCGTATGTACATGCACATTTGCTCCTTTGTACATTGCGCAGCGGCCATGCCCCGATGAAAAAAAAACCAAGGCGCCTTTTCTTATCTTTTCCCATCTGATGATCCCAGCTATTCCCCTACCGGCCACAGATAAATTGTAACACAGAGTGACAGGGGAGCAGGGGAGGTACTTGCATCACCACATCAACCCATTTGCGCACCCATCCACTGGAGCATCCACTGCAACATCCACCGTACTGCATCGCCAAGTCCAATTTTCAGCGCTATTCGACGCTAATCCCAGCAGTTCCCAGGCCCAACCGGCCTACTGCTACAGCCTGTTGTCCTTGCAAGGTGGCTGCTGCCGCTGTTCTAGGTACCGGTGGTCCATCTCCGTCCTCGAGCACAATCCCAGCCAAAACCACCAAAGCGTCCCGCCTTTTCCGCCCTCCTCTCCCCTCCCAACTTTTTCCCACCACTTCAACCTCTCTTTCCATCATCTCCATTCACCACCACAACCACGCCTTTCCCGAACCTCCACGATTCCTAATACCTACATTGCCGACTCACCTTGCCGAATTATCCAATAATGTGCCCTTAAGTCCTCGTCTTCGGACGTTCACGACTCCTGGTTGCTTCCCGCCCCGCCTCTCACCCGGCCACAAGATCAACCAGAATGTCGACTCGAGCCTCTCCCGCGACGACTACCAATCCACCATGATGGAGCAGCCAAATAACTCTGCTGAACCGCCCTTGTGGCCTCACGAGAGGTCATCCGCAGGCCCTCTTGCTCAATCCGCCTCGATGCCCCTGCGCACCGCAAGCAGCACACCCGTTTCTTCACCTAGTCTCTTCAGTCCTACGCCCTCCCGCCATATCCTCCATACCTCGTCCATGTCTGAGAGCAATACCCCAGCTCCGCCTCCTGGAGGCCCTTTTCTGCATCCTTTGCAGACACACAAAGTCAGAGAGTAAGTTACCTCTTCAACCTTCTATGCGTCCGCGGCTCGGCGGCTCTCTCACTGCCGTCCTCCTCCGCCGACGTCGCTGCACGCCACCGCCGCGCCCTCAACGGACAGTGCCCACCGTTACACGCCATGCAGTGTAGCCCTTATGCACACCTACTAACTATTCTTCCCTTGTTTTTCAGAACCCACAAGGCTCTCATTGACAATGACAACGTTACTGGTCGTAAGGTGATTAATCAGTACGAAGTCATTGAAGAAATAGGCCGTGGCATGCACGGCAAGGTCAAACTTGCCCGCAATCTCGAGACCGGCGAAAATGTCGCCATCAAAATCATCCCCCGATTCTCCAAGAAGCGTCGACTCGGAAAGGTCACGGCCATGTCTCACGAGGACAAGACCAAGAAGGAAATCGCCATCCTTAAAAAGATCCGCCACCCCAACGTCGTCGCCTTACTCGAAATCATCGACGACCCTGAACTTAAAAAGATTTACATGGTCCTCGAACATGTCGAGCTGGGCGAGGTTGTCTGGCGCAAAAAGGGTCTTCCCCACGTCTGCCTCTACGAGCGCCGCCGAGCCGAGCGCGAGATGCGGGGTGAGCCTCCCTCTCAACAAGAAATTCAATACGACGAGATGCTGGAGCGCCGCCAGGTCATCAAGGAACTGAAGCGCGCACGCATGGCCCAAAACTACAGCGGCCCTGCAAACTTCTGGAGCGTCGAGCATGGCGCTGCTGATGAGTCAGGCAGTGTCGCCTGGTCACGCATCTCCAAGGATGATTTAGACATCCCGTCGAGCCACCCCTCCCGATCTACCTCTCCAAACTCCTTCCAGCATCAGTCACGTAGACCATCTGCCACCTCCTTCTCTGTCGCTGGTCCGACCGAGCTGAGCGAGGAAGTGTACTGGGAAGACAATCTTGTTACCCCAGGCCCTCCCACCGCTGATGTTGACCCTGTTGCTGCCATTGACGGCTTGGATGAAGACGGCTCACGCTACCGCCGCCGCTCTCCTAGCATGGCCGACTCAATTATCTCCCACATGTCTTCGATAGACTATAACCCCCACGTTCACGATCCATTTGCCGACGACTACTCATACGTTCCCTGCTTCACCTTTGACCAGGCTCGCTCCGCATTCCAAGACACTGTTCTCGGCTTGGAATACCTCCACTACCAAGGCGTTGTTCACCGAGATATCAAGCCCGCCAATTTGCTCTGGAGCAAAAACCACCGCATCAAGATTTCCGACTTTGGCGTCTCCTACTTCGGCCGGCCCAATCGCGATGGCGAGCCCGATGACACTGTTCTTGAGTCTGAAGCCAAGGACTTTGACAACGATCTCGAACTTGCCAAAACAGTCGGCACACCCGCCTTTTTTGCCCCCGAGCTCTGCTACACCGACCTCGACAAGGAGCAGCCCAAGGTCTCAGAGCAGATTGATGTCTGGTCGCTTGGCGTAACCCTTTACTGCCTCATTTTTGCCCGCATCCCCTTCCTTGCCGAGGATGAATTCCAGATGTTCAAGAAGATTGCCACCGATGATGTGTACATTCCACGACGCAGACTGGCCCCCGTCCACCCCTCTACATCGCCTGCTGGAACCTCCCTCTACAAGCGCCAGAACAGTCGACCATATCGAGACGACAATGATGTTGTCTACGAAGACGTTGACAATCTGTTGTACGACTTGCTTCGCCAAATGCTTACCAAGAACCCCGAAAAGCGTATCCGAGTGAGAGACATCAAGCGACACCCTTGGGTTGTCCAGGGTCTTGCCAATCCCCGCGCCTGGGCCGAAGAGACGGACCCTGCTCGCCCTCTTGGTGGTCGTAAGATTCAAGTCGACGAGAAGGAAGTGTCCGCGGCCGTGGTCCCCCTGACCTTCCTTGAACGCGCCAGGTCTGCTGTCAAGAAGGCTGTTGGCAAGGTCATCCATCCACTCGGCGAACGAAGCGACAGCAAAACTCGCAGGCGCGCTGACAGCTCCGCTGCTAGCTCTACTGGAGACAACTACTATAGGAGCATGCCCACCACTCCTCACTATAGCGTTGACAGGCGCTCAGTTTTCATGCCCGATGATTACCTTGCTGCGAGGCACACGCCTCCTTCCGTCGACCACTCCGCTACCCCATCTGTCACCATTGGTGCTCCACAGTCAGACATTGGACAAGGCTCCCGCGCCTCGCTGCTGACGGGATCCGAATTGAACCGCTCCGGGTCTGGTTTGTCGGAGGCATTCGCCCATGACCCGTCCCCTCCTACTGGTCGCACTTGGCACCGTGCTACGGCCTCCCAGAGCAAGCTCGGTAACCACTTCTTGAGCTTGTCTCCAGTCCTCAATGAGCCCATGAAGATCCCTCCGTTCACCAATGAAGCCTCTGCTTCTGGAGCCGACAGTAGACAAAAGTTCAGTCTATTCAACAGCTTGGATAAGCGTGCCGCGGCTCAAGTTAGTCTGAGTCGGCCTATAGTCTCTGGGGGCAGTCACCATGGCGCAGCGAGTATCCTTATCAAGCGACCAATTGAACATGATAAGCACAGCATTAGCGCATTGACTTCCCCCTTGTCATCGTCGCCCGTTACTTTCCCCAGCTACCGCAACGCCCACCCCAAGTCGGATCCCGACTTTCAATCTCGTCGCGAGTTTGGACTGATTGATCAAGTCGACTCCACCGATGACTTGGCTTCGCAAGCCGACTCTACAAAGGCAATGGCGTCCAGCCCGGAGTCGTCTATCGCCGCGCACCTGGACATGGCTGGGCGCAGAGTAGATGGTCTAAGCCAAGCCTTGCCCATCGCCAAACCTCGCCCCATGTCTTTGCAGCAGGTTGGCTATACAAGCCGCGACAAGGGCAGTGGCCAAGCTACTGTCAACTCTGCAAGCACCGACTCCATGGAAGTCATCACGACCCCCCTCACAAGCCCAAGTGAAACAACTAGCCCGATGAGAACCGTCCCCACAAGCAAGGGCGCTTCGGAAAAGATTCTGGCTTTCCAGTCTGATCCGTCTCTTCCTGCTTTGTTGAGCAATGCTAGCTCTGTTTCTGCGGATATGGAGGGTGAGCTTCTCGGTAGGCCTGGTGTAGTCCACAATCAGGCACCTCTTCCCGGGGATGGTGAGCCGCTGAGCTCCGAGTCTCTGGGCAAAATTAATAACAGTTACGCAGCTGAGCAGTCAGTCTTCAACAACCCCCCTGCCATGGAGAGTGGAACACTTGCAATGCAGTTTGACCAAAGCACGCCACAGAGTCCTCCTATGCAGCCGGTGACCGATGATCATTATCCGACTGAATATCCCGACGACGAGGACGGAAGTGATGACGGCTTTTGGCTTATGACTAAGTCGAAAAGAAAGACTCTCAGTCCAGCACCACGCCGACGACCATTTGAGGCCAGACGCCGCGATACCAATTTGAGCAACGTCAGCGTTGCGAGTGACGAGACAGCAAAGCGCGTTGTGTTGCACCCCGACGATCTTGGAATATAGACGGCCAATGATGAAGACCTTTCGCTGGTCACGATCAATGAATTGAATGAACACTCACGACATCGTCTCATGAGCACAACGCCTGCATATACATCAACGATTGAATGCTCAGCTGCGCTGAGCGCGTCAAGCACACTCTACTTTTTTTTCTTTTGTGAATCATGCCTTAGAAGAAGGGCCGTGATGACGAATACGATATATTCTTGGGAGATGTTTTCATATTAACCTTGTACGGGATACGATGACGGGGATTTTACATCCTCTTTGCATTGGTTGGAATTTTGTTGCATTTGCAGTCTTAGGACCCGGCGTCTATATTTTCTTTTTGGATTTATTGCCTGGCGAGTTGAGTTCTTGGTTCCTCTCGGCATTCGCTATTGTTTGTCATGCTGAAATCTTTACGATAAAGATTGGGAAATACCCCTCTGGGTGGTGTATGTGCTTTTAAAAGCTTTTGCACAATTTGGTTTGAGCTTTTTTTTTTCGTTTTTCACTATTTACCATTCTCTGGAGCTAATGCTCTCTGCGCACGCGCTGTACAAACAGAACACGCATCTGTATAGACGGGAACTTTTTTATGGGGAGGTTAATTGACAACGAAGAGGGCTCTCTGCCTAGGGGCGTGCCCATTATTTTCCTGTTGAAATGATGACCTTTGCATATGACTGCCTGCGAGGTAGTTTTTGTGAATGTGGCGTAAATGTAGAGCCAGTCGGACAGTCTACCGCGTTTGAAGAGACTGTACATGTATACTCTATTTAGATGTACGTACGCTGAATTTGCAAGCTAACGAGTCGCAAGTATGCAATTGATGTGGTATGAAATGAAAGACGCCTTGGCGCAAGGGTTCCTTTCTGCGCAATATATACACAAGTTTCATTTTTTTCACGCCAGTTTTGTCCTCCCCTCACAGCATGCGGACTGCCTCCTGAATGGTCGCGTTCTTCTTCATGTCGTGCATCATCCAGAGGGCGATGCCGAGGGACAGGCCGGCGAGGATGAGAGAGAAGACGGTGCCGACGACGACGATGATGAGGGTGTTGTCGGCGTCCGAGTCGCGGCGGGCGACGACAATGTCGCGGACAACATTCATGAGCGTCGTGGCCATGTGGTCGCGGCCAAAGGTCTCCTTGACGCGCCGTCTGCCCTCGGCGCCCATGCGCTGGGCCTCGGCGGCGGGAAGGCCGAGGGCGCGGCGCATGACGGCCGACCAGGCGAGGGGCTCGTACGGGTCGCGGAGCCAGCCCGTCTCGGCCTCGACGACGGTCTCTGTCGGCCCGCCGGTGTTCGCGGCGAGCACGGGCACCTGCGCGAGCATGGCCTCGAGGGGGACGATGCCAAAGTGCTCATTGGCCGGCGTGTAGACGAGCAGGGCGGCGGCGCGCAGCAGCCGCCGCTTGAGGTCGTGGGGCACGGAGAGGAGGAAGAGCACGGGCGCGGACGTGTCGCCGGGCTGGCGCGCGGTCGGGTTGTCGGCCGTGTTGATGGTGTCGTGGGCGAGCTGGCACTCGTTGGCGAGGGACTCGAGCTCGCGGTGGTACTCTACGTTCTCCGCGACGCGGCGGTCGTAGCCGCCGGCGATAACAAGGCGCACTCCGCGGCGCTCATTGTCGGGGATACTGGCAAAGGCGCGGATGGCGAGGCCAATGTCCTTTTTGCGCTCAAAGCGGTTGATGCTGAGGAGCACGCGGTCGCCGTTGGGGAAGAGTGGAGGCCCGTCGTCGGTGAGGTCGTCCTCTTTCGACTCGGTGTCGACGCAGGGGTAGATGACGCGGGCGGTGGTGTGCTCGAGAAGCTCGGGCCAGGTGAGCTGGACGATGGACTTTGTAAAGTTGGAGTTGAGGGCGACGGCGTCGGCGAAACCCATGGACCACTCCTCAAGACGGTCAAAGGGGATGCGGTAGAGGCGTTTAAGCAGGGAGGCGTGGCGGCCCTGAACGAGGAGCAGGTCGGGAAAGTGGCAGTAAAAGACGATGCCCGTCTTGGGAGAGACCAGCAGGCGCAGCCACGGCAGGCCCGCGGACAGCTGGTCGACGATGAAGATGGCGGGTTTGAGATCCTCGAGCTCGCCGGTGAGCCAGATGTGCAGTAGGAGGTGGACCTGCCGCAGGATGGCGCAGAGAATAGTGAAGCGCCCGAAAAAGGAGCGCGGGATGAGCCAGGAGCCCTTGACGCGGACGTCGAGAGTACCTGAAGCAGTGTTAGACTGGATGGCGGCCCATGGCGAAGAGATGGGAGGGCGGGCTTACCATTGCGGCACTCGTCAAAGCAGTGGTGGGGGTCGCAGTAGTTGGTGTAGATGACGACCTTGGCGCCCTTGTCCTGGAGGCCGACGGCGGCGTCGACAACGAGCCGCTCGGCGCCGCCGATGCCCAGGTCCGGGTGGAAGAAGACGTGGCACCCCGCGACGGGTTTCGGCACGTACTTGGGTAGCGGCTCGCGCAGGAGGCGCTCGGCGTCCTCGGCCTGCCGCCGGGCGTGGTCCTCGCGTAGCGCCTTGCGGGCGGCTTTTTCCATCGGGCCCATTTTGCGCTTCGGCTGCGCAAAGGGGTTCGTCGTCGCGGCGGCGCGGGGCTGCTGCTGCGACGGCGATGATGGTTGCTCCTCCATATGTGTGCGTGCTGTGTGGGTGGATTGTGCGGTTCGCGCTTGTGTCGTAGGGGTTCGTCGTCGGTTTCGCGCGGCACTGGAGCTTTGCCAACGGGCTTTTACGAGGACGGAATCATGTGCGTTGGCTTGGGAGAGTGGCGATGCTGCCGGGCTGGGAGTCGGTCGGTTGGTGGTCGGGGTCCAGCTTGTTGTCCTCTACGGTTTTTTTGGAGCTCGTCTGAACCACTGTTGATGCCGGAGCCGCAGCGAACGGTGGGGCGCGACGCGACGTAATGGCGGCTAAGACCAGTTGCAGATTGGTGCAATGAGGAGTTGTGCAAAGAGGTCCAGATTGGGTAGTGACGGTATCTAGAAGATGAATATGAAGTAACTACCTGGTTGGCGTTTGGGAGTTGGTGATGTTGGTGCTGCGTTTGCTGCGGTGGAGCGCCAAGTTGGCAGCTGGCAGCTGCACAATCATGGATCTGCGTGCATAATCCAGGAACTTCTTGGATAACATGTATTTGCACAAGACTATACCATTCAAACGCAACTCGATGGCAACCATATTGCTCCGAGAATGAATTTGCCTTGAAAATCTGACTAGCCTCTACGTTAAACCCTGGGTCAAATTATCCAGCACACACCAACACAGCCTGTGAGAATGCATCCTGAATCGGAGCTAGGCTCGCTATAGATAATTGATGAATAAAAAAGTAGGTTACTATAGCTTAACGCCGATACCATAACGCCCACTAATTATTAGTGTGTTCTATAGGGTTAACATCCTAGGAATAGTAAAGTACTTTATACCTAGTATAAGGCCGCCATCCTTATTATTATTAGAGACACCTCTATAGGTTTTAATACTAAAATTTATATACTAATAGGCTTATAAAGCTACTATTCTAGGCTTATAAAGATTCTTAAGATTTATTAAATCTATAAATACTAATAATAGGTTAGTTAGGTTATCTATATTATTAATTTAGGCTAATAAAGAGCCTATTAATATTAATATAGTAAATATAGTATTAGGTATTATTAGCTATACCTTTATAATAAGGAAGGCTTTATAAGCCTTTATAGTAGCTATTAAGAAGTATATTTTAGCTAATATTTACTTAAATTAGCTTTAAATATACCTATTCTAGAAAGGAAGTATCCTATTAGTAGCTACTTATTTTTACGCTATATACTACCTTAACCCTTAATTAATAGGATTAAAAATAATTATAAAAGAAATAAACTTTTAAAATTAGGCTATACCTAATAAAGGTTAAAATTATTAATTATAAGAGATTCTTAATAGCTTTCTAATAAAGCGATGTAATACCTATATAAAAAACTATAGATCTTAGCTTAATAATAGTATAAGTACTATAGTACTAGCTAACTTAATAGTAGTAGATAGTAGGTAGTAAGTAGTAGGTAGTAAGGGCTAGATAGTATTTCCTTACCTGCTATATAAATTAGTATAGAAAAGCCGGCTTTAGCGTCTAGGTACTACACTAGCCACCCTAATAGTCACTAGCTACCTTCTTATTTGATAATTATCTATGGAGGTTCGGCAAATATTTTAGGCCCGACAAATCTACTAAAAAGGCACTCTGAAACTGCCTATTTCCATCTCGAACAGGCAATTTAGCCAACTGATCTTTCAACAAACAGTTTCCCCTGCTACTCCTGTCTGTAGCCAAAATTGTGCTTGCGCTGTACGTTACAGCGGTGCAGTTTGATAAGTTTAAAAAATCAAAGGCGCACTGATCAATGCACGCCTCCAAGGAAGTGGTGTTTGTTGCACGCAAGTCCACCACCACGCCTCGGCCAACCCCCTCAGAGCCGGCAGGGTAGTCCAAGTCGCAGAGTCGTAGAAAGAGCAGCGGACGGGTCGATGATGACCTGTAAATTGTGTTGTTGTCTGCGGGACAATTATAGCTGCCTATTCTTTGGTTGGTAGGGCTCGCGGAGCTTTCTGGGGACGAGGTAGCTGGGGTTGCTGTCGTTCCGACCGAGGTGGACGTGCTACTTCTTCATCGTTAGCCTGAGAATCTCCTCCGTGTCCCGAGGAATAGATTTAGTCAACCTTGCCGTGCCGTCGTTGCTTGAAAACAACTTCCTGCCCCCAAGTGCGCCGCCAACGCCGCCTCCCACGCCAGCGGCGACAGCGACGACCAAAAGAATCACCAACGCGATGAATTGAGCTCGGCTCAGCCCGCAGATGGATCTACCTTCTTTGCCACTATGCTGATGGACTTGGCTTGTGCTGCAAGGATGCGCCTCTGGGGAAGACTTATCATGGGCGATATACTCGGGTCCTGTATCGTAGGCTATATGCTCCGGGCCGGTATCATAGGCGTCGTAATTCACCTGTAGCCCTTCATAATCCGCTGGTTCCATTGTGAGAGATGCAAGTTGCCGCTTGTTACCCCTGAAACGCCGCGCCGTGCTGAACGGGACAATATAGCATACATAGATCACATGATGCAGTGTGAATGTGATGTAGGTAGGCCCTGAGGCTCAGCATAGTGAGTCCGCCACCTGGTAGAGGAAAAAAAATGATCGGAAGTATTCAACACTTGTTACTTCTGTTCCATTTAGTTTACTCTGACTACGTAGACTATGACAGTTATAATAAGAAACAGAGCAGTAGTGACAAGAAATGGCATTCCAATCCAAATCCCCCCAATCTTCAGCCCCCACTGGAAGGCTGCTGCAAAAACCGGCCCCCCAACGACAAGGCCAGCATAGGTGACCGACGTGACACTGGTGTAGAGCAAGCTCACATATCGCGGCTCAACCATGGCCGTGAGTAAGCTGCGAGCCGTGACGGTAAAGGTGAAGCCCAGGGCGATGAAGCTTTGTCCTATCACGGCACCAAGAGGATGCGACGAAAGGAAGATCAAGATGGATCCGATAGTTAGGCAGACACTGCTAATAAACGTGACGTACTTGTCTGCCTTCCACTGGACGAGACCCCTTTTGCAGGTCAAGTACCGGAGGAGCTTCGGTACCACGTAAAATAGCACGACGAGGTTGATTCCCGCGCGGAGAGGAAGAAGGTAGGAAGCCTAAAGAAAGCAGACGTGTTAGAGCGAAGATCGTTGCAGGCCGCTCGTGCGGGGGTGGGATAGTCGAACCTTTGCATAGTCCCAGTGGAACTTGAAGGAGCTGAACTGGAGAAGCACGCTTGAGAATTGACGACTAAGCTGGCAGCAGAAGAACGCGATGAGCATCAGAAATACATCCTTTGATAGCCAGGGGCCGAAGCCACGGGTACGCTTCGAGACGGCAGGTTTCTGCCGATGGTCGAGACTGGATGTGGCGGAACCGTTTTCAGAATTGATGTGCGTATCTGTACCATCATTCACATTGCTCTCAGTGTCGTTGTCGGGTATCGACTGGTATTTTGCGGGCGAGGAAGGAAGGAAGCGACCGAAAGACAGTACTACCACGATTAAAGTTGCTGCCAGGGCGCCAATGCTACCGAGAACTGGTATCCAGGGATTGATGGACAAAAAGGCTGAGCCGAGGGGTATAGAAACCATTTCCGACAGCAAGACTGCGGCGTGAACGTAGGAAAAGGCGGCGGTTCTTTATAAAATAGACCATGAATTCCAGTCAGCCAGCTGTTGGTATGGCTGACACCTGAGCACACACAGGAACAGGGCACGTACCTTTGCTCCGGCGCACACATGTCGGCAATCATGGTATAACACATGGACGTCATGGTCGCGCCGCCGCCGCCGATGAGCTGAAAGGCGCCGGAGAGCCACAAACTGCGCAGCGGGAGGGTCTGGGGTAGCCAGCCTGTTTGTGTAAGCCCGAGCCGCGCTTTGCGCAGCACCACCCCGCGCGAAAGGTCGCCATGAAGAGGGGACAAAAAAAGCAAAAAGGAATTCCAAAAAATTGAGACAGAGCACAGGGGGGTACTTACAAACAATGGCTATCCAGCACTCACTCAGCAGGGTGCCAAAGAGAGCCAACATGAGAACGTTTGTGCGTCCGATGTGATCTGCTAGAATACCGTAAGGAATAGAGACGAGGATGCCTGATGAAACGCGGCACTGAGGTTAGCATGATGGCACAAGAGACGACCATGGCAGCGGAGAAAATGGAAGCGGCGCACCCGGGACAGTGTCAAACGTTTCTTTCCACCCGTTGACCAGGGCCAGCTCAGCCTGGACGGGTGCGACCTTGCAGTCGCCCATGGCATCGTCGCGCCCCCACGCCCGATAATGAGTGCGGCATATGATTTGCTCAAAGATGACGAGCCGGGGCGTCATGGGCACACTGGCGACGACGTCGAGTATCAGGATGAGGGCGCTGGCGGCGAGGGTGACAGTCAGGTGGGTGGGCGCGGCGCGCGGTCGCGGACTGGCGGTGCCGGAGCTTCTTGCCGCGTCGGACGGTGATGTCGGGAGAAGCAGCGGTGATTCCTCCGTGTCCTTGCCATGGTCGTGCCATGCCGGGAATGCGCGTCGCGGCCGATTCTCTGCGCCGAGCATGGTTGGGATGATGTATGTGTAGCGCGTGCTCGTTGTCGCTGCGTCTCTGCTACGTCTTGGGGCGATTTCTCATCAAAGGTGCAGAAAGTAGGCTTCTGGGAAGGAGTAGGTGATTGTTGAGAAGTAGACGATGGTGCTGTTCCTTTGAGCGGACAAGAGACGCAGAAGGCTGCGCTGACGCATGCAAACGGCGGCGGCGGCATGGCGGCGGTGTATTCATGTGTGTTGTAATCTGTAGTGCGTCCTCATTGTGTGTTGCGTGTGCATGCACCTCTCGCTGTGCCAGACATGTGTATGCGTATGGGCGGCCATGCATTTGACCGTCATTCGGCATAGTGTGAATCATACTAGTTATATGTATGGCGGTTTATCAGGAGGGGAGGCTTTTTTCGGAAGCATTCTTTTTGGTCATACCAAGCCGGCTTCTCCACTCACACACGGCAACTTGGCACCTATTATTATCTTCAGAATTGACCCCCAAATTCATCGTCGCATCTTTTCTCTACCTGCGAAGCCTGACGGCCCAGCCTGCCTGCCCATAGTGCGTTGCTGCTGTGGGAAGCGTGTATTCAGTCCAGCGCAGGCCGAACAAGACAGGCACCCGCCATCTTGACCTGATGCAAACCCGCGAGATCCTGATCTTTCCGAGGCTACACACATGGGACGAGGAAATGTGTCCAGCCCCTGACATGCAGCACTGCTGAGCTTATCCCTCTCCGCCCCTTACCGCCCCCCCCCTCCTGCTACTGCCCCATTCTCCCCTCACATGCGAGACAGCTTGTATCGTCTTGGCCAAGAACGGATCGGCGGCAGCGGCCACAAGGCATCGCTGCCCGAGGAAACATGTCGTAGCCACGCGACCCCCAGAGGCTGAGGCGGTGGCCCGAATATGTCACGCTCGCATGATAGGGACGATTACGTATGGACCCGGGTGACCCTTTTCTTCCACGACACTATACTCCGTACTCTGTACCCAGCTGGGATATTTCTAGCTCCTTGATTGCCTGTCATCGCACAGAAACAGCGCTCTACAAAGTAGTTCCGACAGTAACTATATCCCTGGACACACTGTGTTCAAACCGGCCTACACCACAGCACCCCCGGAATCCTGCTGTCTAGGCTCTGCAGCGACATCATACCGGCCATCAGGCCGTAGTAGAATAGCATGCGCCATGCTGGCTATGGGCGGGATAAATACCACCTCGTGGCCGAGGCGCCGCATAAAGTCAACCGTTGCGTTGTCGTACAGCGTCTCGAAAACGACATGGTTCGGGACCAGCTGGTCGTGGAGGCGTGGCTTGGCCAGGATCTCAGCTGCCGACAAGCCCTCGTCCAGGGCCGCAAGAATGGTTTGCGTCGTCGCCGTTGTGATGAAGCTGCCGCCCGCGGCGCCGGCAATCATGAACAGCGACCCGTCCGGACGCAGCACCATGGAGGGCGCCATGGACGAGAACGGACGCTTGCCCGGTTCTATAAAATTCGCGCGCGAGGGACAGTACCCAAACGAGGCGGAGGCGTTTGGGCGTGAGAAATCTGCGCAGGGCGTGGGTTAGTTACGCCGACCGGTGTCTCTGCTTGACGGGACCAGCACATACCATCCAGTTCGTTGTTCAAAATGATGCCACTTTCAGGAACCATGACGTGGCTCCCGAAGAGGTGATTGATGGACGTCGTGGCAGAGATGGCCAGCCCAGACGAATCCACGCTGGCCATGTGTGATGTACCTGGCCTACATGGCGCAAATCAGCGTCTTGGAGACAGTCACTAAGCGATGAGTGATTGAGCAGATGCAATACGATCCAACTGCTGGAAGATGCAGTGTCGGACAAAAAAAAGGACTTACGTGTCGATACTCTCGATGCCATCGGGATTGTATTCGGATACGTTATGTGTCTGTGTATCCAGTATACGCCGACGAATGCCGTCCGCAGTCGACTGGCGTATCATGAAATCCTGGTATTCTTGCATGCCTTCTACAAAGTCTGGGTCACCCAATTTTGTCCTCTTAAGCGTCTCGTTAGCACCTAGCCCTTCACACTGCAGTGAGACAGACACTAACCAGACCATATGCAAAGCGCATCGCCTCGTCCAGGCGATGCGTACTCAAATTCACATTCTCGGGCGCGAACAAACCATCATACGTGTTGAGCACCTTGAGAATATTGGCCACGACGATTCCACTCGACGGTGCCGTGGTGGTCACGACACGATGGCCCCGGTACTCGGTCTCGGACCAGTTCCGGACGACCGCCTTGTAGTCTCGCAGGTCCTCCATCGTCATGATGCCCCCGGCCGTCTCCACGGTCGCAACGAGCTGCCGCCCAAGATTACCGGAGTACAAAACGTCAGGCCCGTGCAAGGCGATTTGCTCCAGCGTGGCCGCGTAGCGCTTCCGTGTCATCGTGTCCCCGAGACGGAGCCGGCAACCGTTGGGGGCAAAGTCGACGGACCAGTCGGGATGGGTGCTGAGGAAGTCCTCTCCGCTTTCTTCAGTGGCGTAATTCATGTAGCGAAGGAGATCTCTTGTCACGGGAAAACCGTGCCTCGCCAGATGAATGGCAGGCCCCAGGACGGTTGACCACTGTAGGGCGCCGTATTTCCGGTGAAGGTGCTCCAAGCCTCTCAGCTCACCAGGTACACCACTGACGCTTTATGAGCCGTTCTGCTGTTCGGAGCGAATGCGGGAAAGTCAGAAGCTCACCTTTTTAGGCCTAAATTGCTCGACGCATCTGCATGAGCAAACATGTCCGTGGTAGACAAGGCAGGCGCCGTCTCGCGGAAATCCAAAAACTCAAAGGAGCCGGTAGGATCCCTCACGAGTATGAAACCGCCGCCGCCGATTCCGCTGTGGTACATTGCTGTGCAAGGGGTCATCCGTCATCAGTCAAGTACTTGTCCAGGGGGGGGGGGTTCCAACTGTGAGCAGAAGCACGTACCGACCACGCCGAGGCAGAAACTCGTCGCCACCACCTGTCCGAGCAAATCAATCTCACTCTGAAAGGTTTTCACGTTTATTGTTTCCATACCGCATCGGCAGCATTGCCGCCCACCTTCATCATGGCTGCCCCATGGTGACTACAGAGAGCACTTTCGCTGACCACGGCGCCGTGCCGTGCCGGCTTGCACCAGACCCGGGAGTGCGGACAAGTCGGCGACGAGGACAATGCTGAAAAGTTATGAAATATCACAAAGAGGGCACAAACGGCAGCCAGGATCTTATATGGGGCAACCCGATACAGGGCGAGACTTGCACGCCCAACGCCGGATCGCGGACAGGACTGCTTCGTGGTGTCTGCAATCGCGACATGGCCACTACTTGTCTTCCCCATTATCGCGTGTGAATGCGGAAAATGAAAGTGATGTTCAATCAACTGAGGCTAGACACGCTGACAAATCGAGAAATTGTCGACGAGCTTCTTCAAGGACAAACCGAAGAAAGTCCTTGACCGGCTGGCTGGCAATGGCACGACGTGTTCCTCGGCATGCTGCATTCTGCATCCCGCACGAGCTCACTAGCCCCTCTCCCACATTCATTCCATTTACAGTACCTCTCTTTCTCGTCGCCATGGCTTCCGTCTGAATGCAGGCTATTTGGCGCGGCGCCAAATAGCACGTCTGCGCCAAACATGCGTTGGCGCCCAATACGGAAGTCCAGAGCAGTCCGGCGCCACCAAAATACGCAGCGCCGCATTCAATACTACCATGGAATTTGATACGGGATGCGGGCACTGCGATGGACTGCCACTCGCTGTACAAGACGGCAGTCGTACGGTCATGTAGGGTGAAGCCACTTGCTGCGTGATGGCGCCCGAATGTTGGGCATGCGGCTGAGCACGCATCACTTTATGAATGGTCGAGATGGTGCTACTATAGACTTGGTTGCATAGCAAAATCGCCCTCTAGTCTTGCAAATAATTAGCGTCGACTTCTTCGCCTTGGCCTTCCATCCAGGGTACGCAGGCATCCCAGAGAGCCCGAAACTCGCCATTCCCCATCTCCATGGTTTCTCTCCAAATGTCCATGTCTACCCGGTGACTCCAAGACAAGAACGTGACCAAGATGAAGTCCGCATAACCAGCAACCTCCCCCTCCAAGAACGGTCCCTTTTTACCTTGTGCTCCAGTGAGCATCTTCAAGAAAATGTCCAGTTCTGCCTTCATGGCGTCGATTGCGCGCCTCTTACCCTCTTCGTCAGTCACTGCGAGCTCTGCCAGGGGCTTTCCAAACCACTCGGCGCGTGTCCTTAAAAAGTACTCCTTGCCGCGATCGTCCAGGACGTCGCCCGCTTTGGGGAGCAAGACGAAGAGCGCCTCCTTGGCGGCCCGTAGCATCAGCTTCTCCGTGGCAAGGGCAAGCGCGTAGCTTGCCGCGCCCGAAGGGAACAAAGGCGGCGATGGGACTAGAGTATCAAGATGGTGCGCGATGGTAAGAGACTCCATCATGGCACCTGCAGGATTGGTAGTGATGGATGTCGGGTGGCGGATGGCTGGAAGGGTATACTGCACACGGCCCTCGCTGTGCGGTTTGATGGAGAAGCTTTCAAGAAGAGGAGCGATGTCAGGATATGATATGAAGCTCTGCACATAGGGAATCTTTTTGTAGTTCAAGACCATCCGAATCTTCAGCGTGGTGGAAGACCATGATCTCATAGGCCCTAGGCGAGTTAGTTTCAACAGTACAGGTTTCCCATGCAGAACGAATAATGGCAAGGTAAATACCTGGAAGAATAGAATCAATGTCGAAGAAGTGAACGGGCTTTGCGATACTCATTGTAGAGGCTATGGATCAAAGTGACGGGTTTGCAACGTAAGGTAGGGATTGAGCTTCTTGCGATTGCGCAAGACAGAAGTCGGACATTCCAGGTGACACTAGAAGGATGAGGAAAGCTCCCTCTCCGTACTGCATAGCTCCGGGAGTTTACGGCTATTTTGACGCGTCCGCTTGCGGCAATCAAGGAGGAAGGAAGGCCGCGGTGCAATTATGCCACCAAACATGCAGGCTCACCGCTTTCGGAGCTTAAAAGAAGAAGAATGAAGACGAAGAAGAAGAGAGAATATAACTCCATCGGACATTCCTTTGAAAACCCTCACCGACTTGCCAGAATGACTACCGCGGACGACTGCACTGTGACCGGCACACCCATCGTGGTCAATGGCTCAGATGCGACGATTAAGACGCTTCTAGCCAGCTTCCTGCACAACCCTGCGCTTCTAGACAACTTTCATATCCCAAGACTCAAGCTGCGCCTGGCTACGATACAGACCTGGGGAGTGCGAGAGGGAGACCATCTGGTCGATATCGGCTGCGGACAGGGCGAGTCCTCTCTCGCGCTCGCCACCGTCGTCGGCGACCGCGGCCATGTCTCTGCCATCGATCCCGCGCCATTGGAATACGGGCACCCATTTTCCATGCGCGAAGCGCACGACCATATCCGCCAGTCCGTGCTCGGCCCGCGCGTATCCTTCTACCAGGCCGACGCCCCGTCGTTCCTCGCAGACCAGCGGCCGGACCGGCCCCTCGACGGCGCCGTCCTGTGCCAGAGCCTCTTTTACTTCCCCGACGAGCGCCAGGTCCAGTCGCTCTTCACGACGCTGCAGGGCGCCGGCATATCGCCCGTCTACGTCTCCGAGTGGTCGTACGCCCCGTCTAGCGAGACGCAGGCCGCCCACGTGCTGGCGACGACGGCGCAGGCGCTGTACTACCGGTACAAGCCCGCGGCCCGCATCGGCGTGCGCGAGCAAAACGTGCGCGCCGGCGTCGACCAGCAGGCCATTCTGCGCGCGGCCAAGGCGGCCGGCTACAGGATCGCCAGAGAGACGCTCATCACTCCCGGACAGGACATGCTCGAGGGCCAGTTTGAAGTCCGCTATGTGCTCGGGCCGCTCTTCCAGCAGCGAGTCGCGGACGCGGCCTTGTCAAAGGACCAGGAAGCGGAGATTGCCGCGGTGGTTCAGGAGTTGAGAGAAGAAGTAGAGAAGGAGCTGTATTCGGGTGGTGCATCTGTGAGGGCAATGGATGTGTGGGCTCCTGTCTTTGAACTGGCCCAGTAACGAGCGGCGGAGACGTACATGGAAATATGCGGTTTACAATTACTTTGCCTGGCACGGCTTACATAGTTGTTCAACACCTCTATATAAAGATTGTCCATATACTCGGCTTCAAGTGCTGCATCACCAACCTCCAATTGCAGTCCGCACCTCCGCCGTCCAGAATCTTCCAGCACTCTTCGCTCAGCGCTCTCAGGCAGGCTACTGTGGTCGAGGAAGGGTCTACCATGGCAGCCTCGGCCAAGACGTTGGAAAACGCGGCGCGGTGATGGCCCGTAGCCAAGCTTGCAGAGACGCAAAAGGCCCACGACATGGACCTGAGCTCTCCGTGGCCAAATGAGGACGCCTCCCACAGCGGCACAGACCGTTCGAGCGTGTCGTGTATCTCTGGCACCGCCGGGCGACATCCGGACGTGAGGGTATGGATGTAGATGCAGACACCATACGCGAAGATGAGCGTCTGGGCATCGCTGGCCCCTCTTTTGCTTCTGGTAAGACGACGGCTGCCAGGCAGTTGCATGCGGAAAGTATGCTTACTGAATTTGACGCTCAATGTTGGACAGCATGTCGTCGGCTTTGCCGACCAGCTCTCGCATGCTCAGCCGGTTCTGGGCCTCCTGCTCCTGCTTCCAGAGCGCGGCGCCGACGGCGTCGAGCAGCGCAACGAGCGCCCACGCCTGGAAGCCGGCGACGTGAAAAAACGAGTCGCCCGACAGGCCCGAGGAAAGCAGACGGCGGTAGAGGCTCGCGGCGGCGGGCATGGCGTGGCAGGACGAGCAGTGCAGGACATGCACCCGGATCAAGCTGTAGGTGAAGAACTCGACGGTTCGACGCTCCATGCGGGAGGCCGCGGGGACAGCGGCCGGCTTGGTCGGCGAGAGCTCACCCATGTACACGAGGTCCTCGGAGCACTTAGCCAGCGCGTCCGAGGCCGAGTCCAGATATGTCAGAGTGGCGTTCAAGTTCTCACTCAGGGCCTAGCATCTTTTGTCAGACTCCTTCATTGCGCCCGCGTGGCCGAGAGGACCTTTTTCTCACCTCGAGCATGGCCAGCTGCACGCTGCATATCACCGTCTCGCGCGTCTGCCAGCCGACCGACCCCCCCTGCACGCCCCCCCGGCAGCCGGCGTCGAGGAGCTGGCAGTAGCGCTCCATGGCTCTGTTCCGGAAGTGGTCGTACTCGCGAAAATGCTCGGTGCGCCGGCCGTCGTGCGGCGGCGTCTGGAGGAACGCAAAGTAGGCGCTCGTGCTGAGCGCCGTGTAGAAGAAGGTCGGCGACCGATGCAGGAGCCACAGCAGCCAGGCCTTGTCCGTCATGGACCAGGCCTGCGCGCGGGGGTGCAGCCTGCCAAAGTCGTGTCCGAGAAACTGCATCATGAGCTCAATCTCGCGCTCCTGCAGCGCGCTGATGTGCAAGGAGGCGGCGGCGGCGCCGAGTGCCGCCGCCGGCAGCGCCGAGTACGCGGCGTCCCCCTGCGAGCCCGAGCCCTGGCTGTTGAGCGTCGTCGCCGACGAGGCGTCGAACAGGGCCGGCGTCGACACCAACAGCCCGTCGACGCCGCTCGCCCACAGCCCCGACATGACGGACGGCGGCGTGTGCAGGCTGGGCAGGCTGAGCTGCAGATCCAGCATGGCGGAGAAGTCGTACTCGTCGGCGCTCTCCTCGCGCGCGTCCGTCGACGGCGGCGGCGACGGCCCCAGCGCCGTCTCGTCGGGGGAGGCTAAAGCGAGCGAGGGCGACAAGCAGACGTCGTCGTCGTCGTGCGCCGGCGTCGCCTGGGACGCTTCCTGCGCCGCGTAAGGGGGACGCTCCGGATGCTGCTGCTGGAAGAGCTGCTGCGCGTGCCAGCGCGTCTGCTGCGACCGGCGCCGGAGCTGGAGCCGGTCGACCTCCTCCTGCTCGCGCTGCCCGCGGTCTTTCCAGGCCGGACGTGGGCCGTAGCCGTGGCAGACGACGCCGCGCGCCTTGCAGTTGGAGCACGGCATGCCGTCCTCGGGACACTTTTTGCGCCGTAGCCGGCAGGTCCAGCAGCCGGACTTGCTGCGCTGGTTCACCATGGGAGCGAGAGCTTACGGTGCGAGCATTGACAGGCTAACCAAGGTGCCGAGGCTTTCATATAGCGATGAGTGTCTTTGGGACATTGGCGATTTGGCTCTGAACCTGATGAGCGCGGCCGGGGAGGGACGGGTACTCTGCCGTGGACGGTGGCTCGCAGCAGCTGTCCCGGCGCTAGCCACGCCGTGCGATGCCGTACGAGATGCAGTCGCAAGTGGGTGTGGAATCTGCATTGGGTAGATCTTGCCCTCCAACGACAGAAACCGGGAAGTCGCAGACGCGGAGGCGGCCGACCGCCCGCCCGAGCAGCGCCGAACCCCCCCATCAAATCAGCCCCCGCCCCATCTGATGTGAATCGATTAGACATAGTCTGACCGAGAACAGGTCCGATCCATCTACGCGGGAACGCATGAGAGATGCGTCGCCGCACATTCATCGTGTGAGGGATCGGATTTGAAGCCTGGCAGGGGCGAGCTGAGTCAACGGCTTGTATGCCCTTCTCCAAACAGCCGAGCCACTGCTCGGTATAGGCGTGATGAGTCTTAATCATTACGGTTTTCCATTGATGAAACCCCTCCGCTGGGCCGCCATTCCATCAGCATCGCGGCTTTCTGGGATGGGGCAAGCCGAGCTCATTCTGCATGGCTCCGCGCCACTAGAGGTGAAATGCAGCCGTTCCCCCGCCCTGGTACAGCTTTCGCACCAAGCACATGCGTCCTCTCCTCATCCGTATTGATTTGGGGGCAGTACCATTCTCGCACTTGCTGTGGCGCCGCCCCCCGAGTTGATGCCGTGTTCTCCGTGGTGCCTTTCACGTGTCGTGAGTGGGTGACCGTAGTGTTCAGAGGGAGTTTGCGAAGCCGATCTGGCGGGGTAACGGAGTCTAGATTGACAGATTTTCAAGCGGAGCAAAATTTGTTTGCGCCCCCTGTTCGATAACAACGCGCAAGTTGGATATAGGGCGTGTGGCTATAGTACCACCTGTGGTATAACACAGGTTTCCGGCTCGTCTGCGTAATAGGGAGAGTCGTTATTCGATTCAATGGTTCCTTACAAAGCCGGTCATCGGTCATTGGCCATCCATGTGGCGAATATTGCAATACATGGCAAATGCAGCGACTGGCAGCAATCTCCTTGAGCGCTACTTATTGAACTGCTCCGCGGCCTAGTCTTCGGCGACGGCGAAAAGGAGTGCCGCAAACCCCGCAAGTAAATCGTCCAAGTTAATGTAGGCGCAGCCCTTTTGGGCGCCTGTAGATGAGATCCCGGCGCCTCCTAGGTACGGCCGGCCGGCGGTACCCGTGAGCTCGGGACACCAGCGGCTACGGTGTACGGTGTAGCAGCGAAGGGCAAAGTTTCTCGGATCATCGTCCATCTTCTAGAAGTGAATTTTCTTGAATCGTCTCTTAAAATGCTGAAACTCTTGCTCTTTGTTGTGGCGGTTGTGGTTTCGTTCGTTGTATACAGGCGATGGCTTCATCCTCTGTCCCACTTCCCCGGTCCGTTTATGGCATCGGCATCCGGTCTGTACCAAACCTACTGGAGCTTCCGACCGGATATGCCAAACAACTTTATCAAGCTTCATGAGAAATACGGTAGATTCACCAAAAATTACAAGAAATTTCGTCGTCCATCTTCCCACCGTACTGACTCAACGACTACTGCCGCAGGACCGATTGTGCGGTACAGCCCCAATGGCCTTATTTTCAACGACCACGAGCTCCTTGCCGTGGCGTACGGTCGACGGGCAGATAAATCCGACTTCTTCGCCGCTAATTTTGACAGTGATGCGACCTTTAATCTGCAGAAATACGAAGATCATGTAGCCAGTAAAAAGGCCATTGCGACTGCGGTAAGCCGTGTCCTCGACGCTTCCTGTGTTGCTGTCGCGTAGACCGTCACGAGGCAGAAAACCTCTGTTCTAATCCGACATGTATTCCCAGTACTCGGACCAGAACCTCCGACTGTTTGAGCCTAGCTTGGATAAGCTGCTGACTCGCTGGCTGGAGCTTTTGCACCAGGGAACGACACAGGATGATAGCGTTGACCTCTATGAGCGCGCAGGGTAAGACTGCGTCCCATTTCATACCAAAGGACACAAGGACACACCATCTAACACATATCCATGGCAGCTGGCTGGCGAGCGATGCCGTGAGTCTGCTTATTACCGGCAAGGCTCTAGGTTTCATCGAATCACAGTCCGACGTGCGGAATCTGCTTCATAACAAGGACAACACCTTTGACTGGCAGAAATTTCTCGCCATCCAGGAAAATGTCTCTTGGTATGTGCGCAACACATGGCTCGGAAGGAACTTGATCATGGCTCGCCCCACCGATAAGTCTGGCGTTGGAGTATTCATGAAGGAGAGAGACTGCATCATTGCTTCGGCAATAGACAAAAATGGGCATTTGAACAGAGGCGCACTGGTCGAGGGAAGCCTCCTGAGCTCCTTGCTGGAGTCGCACTTTGCTGGCAATGGCATGTCGTTGAAGGACATTGGAGCCGAGATCCTTTTCGCTCTGTAAGTACCATTGACCGTTCCGTGTCGTCGTCGCCCCATACGAGAGCATCATAACTACAAAACTAAAACTCGAAATGTATACGCAGGCTCGCCGGGTCTTCTGTGACCCCTCTCAACCTCTGGACAGTGATTTTTCTCATTTCCAAGGACAAGTCAGTCCAGGAGAAGCTCAGCCTCGAGCTCAAACACGCCGAGCGCCTCGGCACGATCCCGTCCAAAGCCCACATCACGTCCAACGAGAAAGCACAGAGCCTCCCTTATCTGCATGCCTGCATCCAAGAAGCGCTCCGCTTCGCGCCGACCGTCTCGCAGCTCCCGCGGCTGTCTCCGCGAGACACGGGACAGGAGCTGCACGGAAAATATGTCCCTCCTGGCGTTTCCGTGTCCACAAGTCCTTGGGTCATGGGCAGGAGCAAGGTGCTGTACGGCGAGGACGCAGGCATCTATCGGCCGGAGCGCTGGCTGGAAGTGTCCACGGAAAAGCGACGGTACTGGGAGAGGCACGGGTTTCACTTTGGCTACGGGGGCAGAAAGTGTGCGGCAAGACGGTTTGCGCTTGCCCAGCTGCATAAGAGTGTTGCTGAGGTAAGTGCCGGACGGCGATGCCTGCGTCAACAAGGTAGGCATTGAGCTGACAGCGCATCCGACAGGTCTTTCGACGGTTCAACGTGCAAGCAGATGGTCCTGGGCATGGAACAAGCACCGGGAGACCATCCACCCGGAAGTTTCGCTTTATTTTGAGAACAGACGACCTAAAAAGGTCGGAGGAGTAAAAGAGTACGCCGTTCGTAGCCGCTGAATCCCCTTCTACTCTTTGCGACTTGACAGAGACTCCTGTATAAACTAGCTGCTCTGCTACATCCTGGCTCATTTTGCAATGACTATGTGCCCGATCGCGATAGACGTGTTGTAGCCTACAGTGGAGGAGCGAATCCCGCAGGGTCACTTTGGCTCGAGCCTCTTCCCCAGCTACCCATGCCCAGACTTCACAACTGGCCACAACACACTGGCGCAGGGTAGCAGAGGCGCAAGCTACCGGAGGCGCAATGCAATGTATCGGAGGCGCAATGTATCGGAGGCGCAATATATCGGAGGCAGATGGCGATGCGCCAATGACAGGAACCTCCGACAGCCCGTACGACTCGGACAAGTCTGGCGCCGCGCCTTTTCGACAGTACTGCTGCTATCAAGGTAACGTGACCTGAACGATTGCTGGAAGCATCTGCAATGCATATATAGCAGAGCTTCATACCGGTGTCGAAGAATGGATCAGCTACTCACTATCAGTTCTCATCAACGTTCTCGATACTTTGCAATACCACCACCATGAAGCTTTCTTTGATCGCCGTGCTTGCCGTTGGCGGCGCCATCGCTGCACCCACACGCCTGGTATGCCCATAAAAACCTTCCCTGGTGATGGACAGCTGTACTAATTCGACCTCGAAATAGGATAACGCTGTTGAGGACTACGCCATTGCT